TAGACTCGCTGTTAACCACTCTGTGTATCACAGATTTGTCTAAAGCAGTGCAAACTTTAGCCAGACAGCCATACGAGTTAGTTCAAAAGTGTTAAATTGAGCTAGATAGCGAATAAACGCGTGAAGAACACATGCAGTGCCATATTTAGTCAGATGGAATGTGAAGTAAAATATCATAAACAGCATGCACTTTGCAATAATGGTTGCAGGTCTATACATTCAATTCGGTCCGAAAATCCATGATGACCGTGATAGAACGACCATCTGGTGGGTATCGTGTTTATGCGAAAGGAGCCTCAGAAATTATACTGGCTAGGCTAGTTTGCTTTTTTAATAACATATGTACTTTTTAACCTGGAAACTTCGTATTAAAATACTAAAACACTGCAGTGTGGCTCGAATCTTCTGAATCTTCATTGGTAGCTAAAAAAGGCACTTGTGCAGATTGTTTTGCTTTTTATTAATTTATATCTTTTTTGATAAATTTCGATTGGAAAAAAAAGTTATTACACGCCAATTTTTCAAAAAAAAAAACAAAAATTTCCTGTTTTTTTTTGAAAAACCCTTTCCCTTGCTATCTGTCTTCGCAGTACATCCCCTGTTTTACCTAGCTCCATTCTATCCCGCCATCAAAATGATGCCGGTCTTTATGCATACTCTTTTAAGGTGCTCATATGTGCTTGGTCGTGAGGGACAAGTGCAGCCATTTAATAAAGAACAGCAGGAAGAAATGACGAGAAATGTAATCGAACCGATGGCTTCGGATGGTTTGCGCACCATCGGACTTGCTTACAAGGACTACGTACCGAAAGGCGAAAAAGCGACAGAAAATGATGTACTGTACTGGTGACCTTTTACGTGGCGTCTGTCTTTAGGCTCACACCTTTCTTCCGAAACTACCAGTACGAAAGTCAGTGTCTCTATAGACCACGGTAAAATAGTACCGTCATGCTTATCACGCCAGCGATTCATTAATCTTTAATTTGCTTCTCATGCAAATGCTGGGAAAACGGACTACCTAGAGTCTTGCTGGCAGGTTATTATTAGAAAAATGTGAGCACGAATTCAC